AAGCTGTGGTGGCATCCATGCAGGGTCGCAGTCTCCTTTCGATACATAGAATTGGTGCGAAATGCTCGTGTTGTCAGGGCGACCTAGTTGAACGCACCTTGTCTGAAGTCGTCTGCTCTACTAGTGTGCCGGACTGTCTACTTGGCGGATTCCCAGACGTTTCACACGCATCGTCAGCGACTCTTGTCGCCTGAGAGACAACTCGTCAAGGAGGCGAGTGAGATTAGAGGTTAGGCAGTAGCAAGATGGGCCAGGACAGAATTGTGTTCACGTGTTGACTTTACTTGTTCCTTTGTCGAGCTGTAGCTTGGCGCTGAGAATGGCAAGACTGACTGACTATGTCGGCGAAACTTATGGCAATGTACCAAGTCCACGCTCTGACCTTGGGAATATTGATTACTACAGCAGAGGGCTTCGGACGAGGTGCGTCCAACCGAGTCGCTCTGACGGCACGACCAAGTTGCGGAAACGAGGTCGGGTCACGACTCTACGATAGTACGGGTTTACTTTGGCTTGAGCCATGCGGTCAGCTCTCGTAAACAGCCATGGAGTCTATGAATGTGGGTTGCCGTGTGTGGTAGAAAATATGCCCCAATTACTTGTACGTCTAATCGCAGGAATGAAGACCAAAATGGTGTGGCCTTTTGTGTGTTCGCAGTCGCATTTCGTTGTATAGCAATTGTTTGACCTTGTTCTCGCCACTTGGTCATATTGGTAGGACAACTTAGAGGAACGCACCTCGTCCGAAGTCCATTGTATGCATAATTGGTACTGCTTACTTTGATTAGATTCAATGTTGAACCACAACGTTTGTGGGTTGGCATAGTAAGTCATAGACTTGGTATTGGGGATAGAAACAAGATGGACGCGGCGGAGACGAGCTAGTTGGCTGAAAGTGGGCATATTGTACCATAGACGTGGTCCATGTAACAAACGCATGACCATGAGACTTACTCATGCAGAGTGTGGGAAATGACGCCTCGAGTAGCACAGATGGGGTGGCAGAGGTCGAGTCAAATGCGTGAACCAAGGAGAGAGCAGACGGATTCTACGGGGCAAGAGGGAGACTGTGATAAGACCTTTGGAAGGAGGACTGCGTAACAATATGGCAGAATCTGATCAACATTCCCAGCACAAGGGTGAAAGGGGGTGAGAAGGCCAGCGTAGAATGCGGATGGTTCTCATGAAAGCCGCTCAAAAGGTCACATCACATTAGATTTAATTAAGCAAGAGAAAAAAGTGTACCACTGCAGGTGTGATAGGAGGATATAGGAAATTTGAATAGGCCAGACAGAAAGGGTGATACCACAACAGTTTAACAAAGTTCACTTGTCTCTTAGACGAGTTGTTGTGTCGTGCTAAGAATGGCGAGACTGACTGACGTTGCCGGCGAAACGTCTGGGAATGTACCACATCCACGGTCCGACTTTGGAAATGATGATGCATACAATGGACTCAGGACAAGGTGGGCTCCTCTCAGTCTTCCTACCAACATGACCAAGTTGCGAACGCAAGGTCAAACAGCCTTTATACTTGTACGTCTGTTTGAAATATATTGACGAAGTAGACTGGAGGAGATGTAACCAGGCTGGACTGGACAGGACAACGAATCAACGAAGCCTCACCAACCGATGCCATCCGGACAGACGAGGTGGCCATCCTCTGCGAAGTGGGTCTCCACGATTCGAGGGTCGGGCAGGAAAAAGACTGCTCAAGCGATTTGGTGAGTCGACAAGACCGGCCTGCCGCAGCACTTGCGACCGCTTAGCGCTCGAGAGAGGCTGGCCTCGCCCTTTGCTCGAGCCCGACCTCTGCCCGGTCAGGACACATGCAGCGGTTGCAGGTGCAGTGTGTGACTACAATTAGGCCTGTGCAGCCAAGTCTTTGTGTTGGCCATAGGGTTGGCATACAGGGGCCACGGGGTACAGTTTTAAGGCTTGGCAGAGTGATTATGCAACCACTGGATACTCTTTTATGCTGGACTGTAAAGGGCGACTATGCTCGTCCAAATCAATCCTTTAGATCGGGAGAGGATGAAAGAGAGAATGAGAAGAATGCCAGTGAGGAGGAGAGGGAAGGGAGAGCTGTCTGAGGCTATCTTGTATAGCAAGCAGACAGGACACGGAGATGGTGGAGAGGAACAGAAATGAATTGCGAAAGAGGTTACAGCGCAGGCACCTCGGACACACGTGATCGGTCACACTGCCCTAACAAATTTGCTAAGAATACACCAGAGATTCGCCTGTCCATATCACTAATAAAGAAAACATACACACACACACACACACACA